CCAGTCGCCTCCTGTCAGCCCGGCCGCGGCCCCGGCCAGAGCCCCTCCCTCTCGAAGGGCCGCAGGTTTGGGCATCGCCCCTCGCCGGAGGTGGAGGAGGCGCTGCCACGTGCGGAGCCGGGCGGAGGAAAGGCGTTGCTTTGGGTGAGCTCCGCCGGCTGGGTTTTAGGAAGCAGCGGTTGGGAAATTACAGAAACGGGCGTCGGGACAGGGTGGGCGTTGGAGAGAACTCTCGCGCGTCCCCAGAGGCAGCAAGAAGCTCAGGGAACTGGCAGGCTTCCTTCACCCTGACCTCATCCATCTTTCTAGGGGCTCCCACTAAGCCGAGTTGATGAGAGGCTGGTGCCCCAGCTTGCCGTGCTACATGTTTTCCCAGGAGCAGCTTCTGGGCACTGGTGGCCAGCTTTCCCCACACTGACAGCTCTGGTAGATGATCTGATTTCACAGAGGGCGCCCTGCACAGTCCCCTGTCAGACTCGGTGCCTGGCGTTAGGAACCCAGGAATCAGAAAAGACTTTGGAGTGGGTCATAAGGGAAACTCGATGAACTCCAGCAAAATCCATGCATGTTCATTTCTGCCATGAAGTGTTTGTACTGAAGGTGAGATACAGTTAACGTTGCAGATTAGAGTTTATGACAGCTTTAACCAATTTTAAATTGGCTGGTGTTCAACATGGGTATTCTGCAGACCTAGAGGTCAGTCTTGCCGTGGGTTGTATTGTGTGGGGCATCACTAATGCAACTTATCCAGCTATAGTAAGTACAGGAATAACAAGCTAAGAGCAGAGCTGTTGCAGTAAGAGATTATAACAGATACTTCTCAAATTGGTGAATTAGATTTAGGAGCTTAATGGTTAGAGCAGATCTGTCAAGTTCAGCTAAGGAAAGAGGTGCCACTCAAGTATGTTCACAAGGAGATACAGCAGCGTTTTGGCGAGCTGACCACATTTCCTCCTATTGCAATAGGCCAGATCCTTCCTGAAAGCTTTTACTGCATCTGGTTTTGGTCTGTGTGTGCCCTGGAGTAAGCAGCATTATTCTTGCAGGGACACCAAGAAGCTCTCTCCCATTGGCTCAGATCATTGACCAAGCTTGTCCAGAGGCAGAAGCTTTACAAGGATGCTGGAGTTGTAAGTTCTGGGTTCCTTCTTCCTGTAGCGACATTTACACAAAGCTGTTTCTGCATAGCCAGTATTTAAAACTGAGTCTTTTATTCATCAAAAGCATCTTAAACCACACAGCTTAGGAAGATGTTTAAATCCACATCTTTTATTTCAACATAGTTAGTAGGCCTTCTAGATTACAAAACCTAAAGTAAGTAGCACGTATACCCAAAACAATTGAAAGAACTTAGATTGTAATTAAGCAACTTGAATTGCACAAGCTGGATTACCATCAATTTCTAATAATCAAGTCAATTTAAAGGTGGGGAAAAAAAAGAAGAGTCAACCACAACACAGATGGTTGCTGGTGTTCTAGGTACCTGGCCATAGAATGCTTCATCATCCAGTTTGACAACCCAGGGTATATTTATCTCTGTACAGCACTCTGGTTTCATAAAGTCACTGAGGAATGCCTCAGTGCACAGCTGAGGCACTACAGACAGAGCTCAGTCACTGTGTGCTGCAGGAGTGCCCAGCGTTTGTCTTCGCACCAAAGCAGCACAGATCATTCGGGGGCCAAAAAAGAAAGTTTAGGCCCTTTTCCTGCCCTCTTTAACCCTCCCCCCCTAGCCTGCTAGCAGCTCACATGCCTGCTTTGTGCATCTAGAAGAAAAGGCCCAAAAGGCCAGTCTTGGCCAGAGGCAAGAAGAGGCAGGCACAACTGAATTGCCATTGGGCCTAAAGTGGTGTAGTGATCTTCATACGTCAGTAGACTCTAACAGGGTGTATGTCCTTTTGAAAGGTGAGATATGTTTGAAACATTTTGTTGCCCCTTGTCTTTGGGTGCTGATGTGCTTTTCCTTTGAGCTGCCTACCGTAGGACGTACATTTTCTGTTATGGTAAAGTGGTGTCCTGCTGCCTGAGGTTTGAAGACTGCTCTGCTGCTTTCTGTAAAACTTTAATAACAAGCCAATTGAAACCTTTTTAATGGCATAAATTAGTACACTTCTCAGACTGAACAAAACTGATAATAGGAGGTTATTGTAAATTATAGAAGACCAAGGTGAAAATGCAAGACAAGTCAAAGTAGGTTATGGGCAGAGCACTAGTAAGGCTAAAGTGAGGAAAGCTTCCTGAGAACAGAGTTGCTGAATGGATGAAGAGCAGTGTGGCAGGATGACAATTACATAGGCAGGCATCCGTGCCTATGAACCAGATGAGCATGTGCAAGATGTCCTCCCAGTTAGAATAACTGCAAGTTGCCCAGACTAAATTCTCTTCCTTTTCATGCCTTTTGAAAGAACAGGTGTGCAATAGCTCTGTATTCTGTACTGTGAGTTTATCTCTACAGTTACAGTATCAGCATGAGGTGTAACTTTGATGAGAAGAGTGGCAAGTACTAGTCTCTGCCTTCCTGTGTTAGAGGAAGCGGTGACACACGTGATCTGTAACTGGTAAAGCCATTGCCCCACATCCCTGTGCTTGTTTCCCTGACATACCAATTATACCTTACACTAAGGATTAGCAGAAGGGAGAAAACATCAGGTAAAGGTGAGGGGGGAACAGAAGCTGTTATTTCCACTGCTGCCTTGCACAAAGCTGGAACAGTTTTAAGATGAGCTCTGAAATGAGTACTAACACAGTTTTGGGTGTGTTTTATACTTGTCTTTTCAACAGATGTAATGAATTCTGCTATTCCAGGTCTAACTACTTTACCTTTTCTCCTACTGCACTGCAATCTCTGGACTTGAATATATTTTTAATTCTACCTCTCAGGTAGACAGATGGGCTGAATCTAGTAATTTCTCTAGGCATTTGAACAAATTCAGGGCTTTAAGCTATGCTTAACTTGAAGTAATGCTTAAGTCTATTTATTGCAGAAGTCAGAAAAACACAAGTAAACATTCCACACCAATCTTCATTCTGGAGGTCTGCAGACAATAGCATTGCAGCAACATGACAAATCCTTTATTAATGCCACGAAGGTCAGAGATAATCAGTAGAGCTTCCATAAATATCAGTATAGTTGCCTAACACTTTCTGCAATAGCTTTGTTTTTCCTCCTACTTTAAGAAGAATTCAAGTTTTCAAAACAGACACTTCAGAAGCTTCCTGGCTTTTGTACAGAGATGGACATTCTTCTAAACTGACCTGCTATTAGAACAGGAATGTATTTGGGTTTCTCATTCAGTGCTGCAGGTGAAAAGCTGTCTGCTTTTCTTGTGAATGAAGAGCTAGAAACAAAGGTTGTTCTTCAGATATTCCTAGTGAGAGTATTTCCAAATGCTACCTACAGTAGCCTTTAAAAAGACATGCAACTGTGTTGCTGCTGCTTACATGGGTACATACGGTCTCAAGTTGCTTGAATTGGCATTAACATTTAAAAATAAAGTCTGTAGTCTTGCTCACTCAATATGCATTGCACTTGGAAGTAGATCCTAGTATATTCAGAAAAAGGTGACTTGTCTGGCACATTACCAGCTTAGCATAATAAATATGAAAGATTTGTGATACTAAAGCACAGTAATGAAAACAAGTGAATGCTCAGATAGGAAGCCATCTGTGCTCAAAATGTGTATGCTTTGTGCTTGTGTTGCTAAACAATGGAAATCCCTAGACAAGATTTTATAAGTGGAAACTATAAGGCATTATAATCCCTCCAATTTGTATAGGCTTTTGTTTTAAGAAAAATGCAAAATATAATTTCGAGTTAACTTTTATTCATTCCATTCAGTGTGGATGGTGCTTACTTTGTGGGCAGAAAATAGAGCACAAGTTCCCTCTAATTTTACTGATACAGATCACTCTACTACTATTTTCTGTTACCTAGCTGCAGCTATTTGAGTGGTTAATGCTAAAGACAGTTAAGCATACGTAACTAAAGGTTTGGGTTTTTTTTTAAAAATAAAAAATTCTAAAATTATAAAGCTTCTTATTGTGCTTCTTACCACACAAAACTTGGTTTGCTTGTTTTACCACTGCTGCCTCAAGAAATGTTTGTTGTGATTCTGATCCTCCTGACTTTTTTTTTGTCTCTGTACTTGGAAATAGAGTTACTAGTGTGTACTTTACATTGATGTTTTAAAAAGATGAAAAATTTGAAGCTCATTGTTTTTAAAACTACAGCAATAGTTACAATTCAAGCCACTTAGCATTTAATAACTGAGATGGAATAAGCTAGCTTTTCTGCATAGAAACACATAGGTAGCTATTGCTTAGATTACAGAGGTTAACATCTCAAACCTTAGCTATATCATAGTAAAATAAAGCTGCAGACAATCCTCACAACTATCTCTTACAGCATGAATAGGAGAACATAAACTACTTACCAACAGTGAGGTGGTAATCTATTGCTCTGGAGGTAGCTTTTAAAGGAACTGCTCCTAGGCACAGCAAATAAAAACTCTGCAAAGGCACCTGATTTCCTTTCTGAGGGGCACATGGCTGTGGTGGTGGGAAAGGCTGTAATTGTCTTCGTGTGTACCTGAGCCTATATAATGATGAGTATAGTGCAAACCCCTCTTCCTGTAGGAAAGAGTAGCTGTCCTAAGCTCGTGAAGGTTTGTAGTGGTATGTGTGTGTTTGTAGGTGAACCTTTTCTGTTAGAGGAAACGTGGGGGTTAAAGCTGCCCTAGGTAGAAGTTACATTAGGTAGGTGTCAAGTTAAAGCTTTTATGATTGTTATATGTGTTGTGGTTTATGGTGTTTTGATTGTTTTTGAGGCTTTTCTGCTGTAATGTGTATGATTGTGGCTGAGGTGCTTTAAGAGGCTGTTTCTAGAAGTGGAATAAAGTGAAGGAAACATTTTTCTATATAATCAGAGTGACTTGAATGACCTATTTGGTAGTTGCTAACTGTGATACAAGAGGCACTTTGCACATATGTAGCACTTCACAAGTCACTCAAGGTAAAAGGGAAATGTATTGTTTGAGAATTACTTGTAATAAGGCTATTACATATAAGCAACACTTAAATGCTTTTAATATTAATGGAAAAGGAACGCAAAAAAAGTATTTGCTCAAGTTTTATCTCATACTATCCAAATAAATTCTGCTTTGGAGGTGTAATACAGTAGCTGTTTTCATAGACTTCTAAACTATAAGCTTAAGTTTCAAGAACTCTAATAATTTAGCGTAACTGTTTTCTTTCTACTATTTTAATTAGCTCTTTGAAAGTGACAAAGTCTGTTTTATATACATATCAATTCAATAAACACAGAAATCTGTGGTGTTATATTTTTATATAAAATATGAATGAAAGCTTTGAGTTAATGTATCTGTAATTTGGCTCTCTGTATTGAAGAGCATATGCTGTACTTCTTTAATTAAACAAAAAATAATATGCAAAAGAATGTAGTCTGTTGGATGATACCAAAAGAGTAACATATTATTAGAATAATACCAAAAATAATTGCTGAATATTGTGATCCTTGAGGCCATAGGCAGAGACAGCTGCTGAAAAGTGAATATAGTAAGTTTAATGCAGAAGAGACAAATGTTGGAATCTTCCCTTATACCTGCATTTTGAACTAGAATCCAGATACTTTTTATTCACAGTAGCATGGTTAGGATTTTTACTTAATTTTTAAATGAATTAATGTATCTAATAGAATAGTTTGCTTTATGCAAATCCTGAGCTGTCAAAGTCCTAGCAATCCACAGAAAGCTCAGTTTCACTATGGAATTCCTATGGAATTCTGCCAACCTGTTCTGCTTTTCTGCCTCCTAGTATGGCTCTTAGGAGCTGAGCATCTGAAGCCCCATTCCCAGATGCCTTTCTTCCCATCTGTCCTACTGAGGTCAGTTCTTGACTGCCTGAAAGCCTGGAGCTTCTGGCTTGCAGATCCTAGCTCCTTGCCCTTATGATAAGTTTGTGTTTTCCCAGATTTCTCATGGAATTACCTGGGTTTAGGGTTCATTGCATTTTTTCAGTTTGTTTCATTAAAATATTTTAGTTGTATGTTAATCCTTTTGCCACATACTACCACTGGTCAGTTTTGCATTCTTGCTTAGACTGACTTAATATATTCATGTGTACAGAGGACAGAAGGGTGAGGGGTTTCCCTTCCTGTTGGTACCACAAAGGATTCAGTAGTTGTGCCTGAGGTAGGAGACCAGGTGTCAGTTCAGTTTTGTTGGAACAGTCCTGACCTCAGTCTGGAGAAACCTACTAAAAGTTTGTATTTTATTTCATTTCTGAAAATGCTGTTAGTTTTCTGAGGACTGGGTGTCATCTTTCTCATGTGGCTACCTCCCAGCACAGGTAGCAAAGTGTAGATGGGGAATTACACACCAAATTGGACACAGAAACCAAATTAAGGACAAATGTTTTAGTTAATCGTCATATCTGGCTTTTCTTTCTTTAGTTGAGGTTTTCTCGGCCTGGAATTCTGTAATTAAATATGATGATGAATGGCACCAAGTAGTGTGTGGGTCTAATGCTGGGTGCTCATAGTATAAGATCACTTTTATGTACTTTAAGGGCTCATCTGTAAGCCCTTTGGTTAGGGCAGCTGTATCCTGGTGCACTGAACATCTGTGGGTGGTGTGCCTGGACTGACCATGTTGTTGCACCAGATTATTTCTGCTCTGGGTTTTCCCCATCCTGTATGTTAACTGTTCCTTTACAATGGCTGCAGCTTAGCCTGTAGTTCAGCTGTTAAATGCTGACTGCATTTTATAGGTTGTCTTGTCTTTCGCTGCCAAAAGGGCTTCTGCACTACAACAAAGGTGAAACAAGTGTTACATGTGAAAGTTATTTAAAAAACAAAACTCTTTTTCCCCCTCCTTCTGGATTCTTTATGTTATTATTGACCCAACTTCTTTTTTTAATGTCTAGTTGTGGGGTTTTGTCCCCAGATTTTAATTTTTCTTATCTGGTTCTGCTACAGTATCTCTGAAATGTAAAGCTCTCATTTTAAAGGATTAAGATGCGTGATAAAACTCCAGAGACAGCAGAATTTATTTTCCTTATTTACAATTAATTTGTCTATTAAGCTTTTTGTATTTTTAGGGCGAAGTGGTTGACAAATTTCTAGCTTTTTTTTAACATTCTCACTGCAGATTAAATGCATAAGGTTGGAAATATGCTTTGAGACTATACTTTGACTCTTACTATGCGTCCTTGTCAAAATTACATATGATTTGCAGTTGTTGAAAACTTTCCGGTACATACTACAGGATGATTGGAAATATGCAAGGTAACAGATAATGTACAAAGATTTTTGAATAAATTGCATAAATTACATCAGCAGAGTATTTTATCATCACTCCATTGTTTGCTAAGAGTATAGCAGTGTGAAGTGAGTGGTATAGGAGATAATAAATAGCAATATCTTCCTTCAAGTAATTCTAAATTCAGAAAGGGAGAAATATCAATAGTTAATACTATGCTATTAGGCACACTGTAAATAGGCACAATAGAGGAAAAAATTCCTTTATCCAAAATAACACTTAGTTTCTGACATTAATTGAATTGAAAATTGTCCTGATTATCTCTAAATCCTTCATTATTCAAGCATACTCAATATCCTATATTCCACTTGGATAATGGAAGTTTGACTTCACACTATTTTTAATGAGGTATAAGATTTAACTCATTCACCTGTCACTCACATTTTAGGATGGATCAAAGGAGACCAAATTGATGAATGTATAATTAAAATCACATTTATTTCTCTTCATGATTTCCCTGCAAATACTGATGAGAGTGCTTTTATAAGTGGTTGTATGCATCAACACAATTTAGAATCATAGAATCATAGAATTATTTTGGTTGGAAGGGACCTACAAGATCACCAAGTCCAACCATTGAGCCATTAGGGCTCTAAAGTTCTCTGCTAAAACAGATCAGAATCTGTCAGGGCTGGAAGGGACCACAAGGATCCCCCAGTTCCAACCCCTCTGCCATGAGCAGGGACACCTCCCACTAGATCAGGCTGCCCAGAGCCTCCTCCAGCCTGGCCTTAAAGACCCCCAGGGATGGGGCCTCAACCACCCCCCTGGGCAACCCATTCCAGGGTCTCACCACTCTCACGGGGAAGAACTTCCTCACATCCAGCCTGAATCTGCCCACTTCCAGCTTTGCCCCATTCCCTCTAGTTCTGTTGTTACTTGAGATCCTAAAAAGTCCCTCCCCAGCTTTCTTGTAGCCCCCCTAAGATACTGGAAGGCCACAATAAGGTCACCTGGGAGTCTTCTCCAGACTGAACAGCCCCAACTCTCTCAGTCTGTCCTCACAGCAGAGCTGCTCCAGCCCTCGGATCATTCTCGTGGCCCTTCTCTGGACACGCTCCAGCAGCTCCACGTCCCTCTTGTCCTGGGGGCTCCAGAACTGGATGCAGTACTCCAGGTACTAATTTCCTATAGGTAACCCTTCCTTTGAAGGAAAATCTTTAAACTTGTGTGTCTTTTAGTACAAAACAGTGTCATGGTACATCTCCATGGTTTTTAAGGTTTTTTTTTTCCCCCAGTTCAATGATATTTCTTTACAACAATCTCCACAGGATGGCTGATAGTAGAGAACACGCATGATCTTCCTTACCCGGCGTGTCCTGGGCCTGAAGTGGCTGCAGCGATGACCGTCCCCGGCGCTGCGGTGAGGCAGACGTGCCCCGTCTCCTGCTGGGGCTCCAGGCCCTGGCTGCTGCCAACCAACAGGCCAGAGCGGTCGCTCTTGCTGCAGGTGACAGGAATGACTCGCCAGTTGTGGCTGGTGTTTGCTGTGGCATTCACTCTCTGCAAATTGTGCGTTGTACTGACATACATACCATGAAAAAGGAGACGTGAAGAGCTCGTTGTACCCTGAAATGCAGAAATTGGGTTTTGAGAAAGATGCCTCCTTGGTTATAATAGGTGATACTTGGATGCTGCTTCAGCTGGGAGGCAGCTAAGAATCCCAAGGCCGCTGCCACAGCTTTCTAGGTGAACTATACCTAAATATAATGATTAGTTTAAACCTACTCATGTCTAAAAGCTACCTTTGGTGGAACTGTTTACTTTGGTTAAATTATACTTGAGGATCAGTTTAACCCACTGTGGCTAACGCCCTGTTTCAGCATCTAAGTATATGCTGTTGCTACTACCGTTATCCATTAAAACAAAGTTTTCATTGCCTTTTTTTAATAAATGGATGGAATGAAGCTTCTGATATAATAACAAAGAATTGAGTGTACAGCTAGCCAAATTACTTAAAATTAAATTGTGTTTGGGTGAATAAAATATAATCTATCTTTATTGCATGAATCCTAGACTTGCTAACCTTTCTACTCCTAATGCTTGCTGAAGCAATTTTTGTTTTCCATATGTATCATTCCATGATTTAAAGATGGAAGCTGATTTAATATGGAAGGCTTGTACATCCCAAATACTTCATAAATTGAGGGTTAATGCCTGTTTTTGCCAAGATTGCTTATGTGATTACTGTAAGGCTGCATGTTTTTGCACGTTCAAATTTTATAAACAGGCAAAATTTCATAAGAATGCAAAACTAAAAGATGCTGGTGTTAATTGAAAATCATACTACAGGTAAAATAATGTAGGCTAACTTATCTGCAGTGGCAGTTTTAATTATGTTGAGTGTGTTCTAAAGGGCTTAATTTTTTTTTCTTAAGGAAATTCTTGTTAGTAAATGTTTTGAACTAATTTCTTTTGAATAGTTTAAAATCAGAAGTTGACTTTCAGGGTACCTAGCTACTTGACAAACTGACAAAACCTAATTTTTATTGCTGCAGTAGAAGCTATGTGGAAACCTAAAATAAAAATGCTAACAGAATCCAGTGTGTTTTTAGGGATTGTATGCATGTAGGATACTGGAGATACATAGGCATTTGCAAAACTATTTACACATCTTATTTTTAAAGGCAGTGGTCAAACTGTTAGGGACCTATGCATCCTTTTAGGAGCAAAATTGATCACTAAATAAGGGATGTCATGTGGGAGCAATGTTTTTCTCTTACTTTGCAGCAATTATTAATAAGGGAGAGAATTCCTGGAGGGCTTGGGTTTTGCTCAGCTCTACTACTGTTCTGCACTATTTGCTCTGTAACTGGAAAACACCAGCTAGGAAGGGCCTGTGTTTAATGCATTTCATTGCACTTCCCTAAAAATTGTCTCAAGTTCACTGAACAAGAAAACACAAAAGAAAAGAAAATAGCTTTAAGCAAAAGCATAGTAAAGTCAGTGCTACTAAAGTGCTAGTAAAGCCAGGTAGTAAATCTTTGACTAGCTTTCCTTTAGCAACTTACAGTGACTTTTAATGTCAATACAGTTTTAATAGGTGGCTATTAATAAAGTAAGGCCTGGATGCTTTCACTACAAAAAATACTTGCTGAAGGTGTTTTAGTTGAAAAGCATGTGTAGTATCTCCTGCTACTCTGCAGTCATTTCATTTTCCCTGTGAAAACTTGTACCTTTGGTAGAAATAACCATTCTGAAGAGAACTGAACAGGGAAATCATAAGCAGCCTGTAGGTGAAAGTAATGATTTTATTTTCTAAAGAAGGGAAAAAAATCAGCAGGTTAGTGTGACTTGGAGGAGCTCAACATCAGCAGTATGTGGTCCTGCTAATAAACAAGTTGTGTGTAGCCAAATAGTAACAGATGAAAATACTGAATCTTCCTATCATGTTGCCAAGGTATTGCATAAATCTGAAAGTAACAGTAGTAAATCACAGGATGGGGCATCTGAGAAAGTTGAGAATTTTAAAAAAAATTATTTTGGTTCTTTAGGGAACTTTTTTATTGCTATTCAATTAGGCACCTGAAGGAAGGAGTGCCAGCAAACCCGTATTCATGTTGGGTGCTTCAGCAAAAGTAGGGGGCGGCAGTAGGAAAGTAGCAGGAGATGTTGAGGAAGGAGGAAACCACTGTCTCTGCTCTGACAGAAACAAGCGGTTCCTCATGTTACCAAAAAAACCCCTGCTGAGCCCAAACAGTTGTTGCCAGCATCCCTCCAGCTCCAGAAGGTTATTGCAGACTGTTACACCAGTGCTGAACTGAATGCTTGTGGTTCAGTGCAGGGACAGGTCCACCATGGGGTCAGTGGAGGTAGCTGCCCAAGGGCATCCCTCCAGCAGGCTGTGGCATCCTTCTGCCGTGGGCCTCGCTGCAGGTCCCACCTTCCCTGTCCATCAGCCCTGCAAAGCAGCATCACTGTGTCTGATCTTTTGCTTTTGACTTCAAGAGGTTATGTTGAAAGCTGTCGGAACTTCCCTCCGTTCCTAGGGCAGATATGGCAAAGTTAGCCTACTCAAAAATCAGTGTCTTTATTGTCATGGTTTGAGGCTGGCTTGGCCACTAAATGAGATACAGATGCTCTCTGTTAACCCTCCCTTCCTAGAAGGGAAAGGGAATATGGGAGACAGACTTGTGGGTTAGGAAAAAAAAATAACTCTATAACACAGCTTTAATGAAATAGTAACAATAAAAAGAAAATATAATGTTAATAAGAAAAATAATGAAGTATCTATAAATATATGCAAACCCAATATTAAACCCCCTCAGTCTGGCTAGACTCAGTGGCAGGTGGGAATGGGATTCAGGAACTGCACTGAGGAACTCATGGACTGGGATTGGAGGCAGAACAGGCAAAGTCCTCCTTGGATGCCAGACATGGAAGAAGAGAGCGTGACCCTATAAACCCTCAGCTTTATACTGAAAATGGTGTATATGGGATGGTCATATAGGCTTAGGGTCACCTCTCCTGCCTGCCTCCTGTCTGTCACCTCCCCACAGGTGTGACCTTTTCACTTACAACCCTTTCACTTGCAGCATTCCAGTCTGGCACACAGCATTTAGCAATGGCCATGGTTTCTGTAGGAGCAAGTGTAAGCAGGAGCCTTGCTACACATGCCAGTCCTTGGTAGTAACTATGACCATCAAGTGCTATCACTTCTAGAAGCAGAGACTGCCTGCAAAGATATGCCATTACCTTCAGAAAGTGCAGTCACTTAGAAGAAACTTAGATGAAAAGTAAAATGGCTGAATGGAGAATTAGTTGTGTTTTAGCTCAGATGAGGACAATTATATATACAAATAGTGGGGGAGATTCATGTCACACTTTGCTTAATATAAAAGTCCTCTGCTGCTCAATTTTTTACACTATTCTAACGCAGGCATTTTAATTTTAAATACAGTAATGTCCCTAAGGAACTGTAGACAGCAAACCAGAGATAATACAGAACAGTACAGTTTTGTATTTATATTTTTGACTGGAAGCCATCTTAATCTCAAATATTTATTCTCAGAAAAACAACCCTTCCTAACAGTTCATTTTAATGACATCCTTCAAAGACTGTATTATCTTCCTTCTTTCCTAAAATGCTCTTTGTGGAGAAGCAAGTCAGAATTTGTTTGCTAGGGTTGCTTTTCAATTGGCTTATTATTAACAGGTGTACTGTGTGGGTTTTGGAGGTGTATAATTTCCTGTTTGTAGTTTCTGATTTAATTAACTACATCTGCTTGATGTTGAAACAGAATGAGGTATGTAGGAAGGTTCTGTGAGCATTTGTAGAGGAGATAAAAATACAAATGCTCCCTTATTTACTTTTGTTCAGCAGATATTACTGGTTATCATTTCTCCACCCTCAGGAATGTCTGCAAGATGCTCACTACCTCTGGGTCAGATTCAGGCATAGTGTTTGGGTTTCCTCACTTATTAGTGTGTCTCATTTCCTAAAGTTGACCATTGTGTTAATTTCACGTACTCACATTGTTTATTGTTGATCTAATTCCAAACTACATGGCTTTTCTTCTATTGAAATTTTGCTATTTATGAAGCACCGCTCACATTAGAGGGGACTGTTGTGTCTGAAGGAATTGACAAAAAGCCCTCGGCTTCCCTTGCATTAGTGAGACATTCTGCTTGTCTCTAACCTGTCACTGCAGGCCATTGCAGAGCTTTTACAATACAGGCTATATGTGCTGGTGATACTCCCTTTATTATTTTGCAAATTCTGCATGCTCTATGTTACCAACATGTAGCAGTGATTGAGAAGAAATAAATAACTGACCCTTCATTAACATAATGCAGATAAAGTTAATGGTGAGAAGAAAGATTTCCAGAAAAATCTCCATTGTGGAATATTGGTCTGGCCATCTGCTGATCTCTGAGGCATAAAACAGCCCCCATGCTTGTATGTCTGTAGTGATGCACAGGAACACTTCTCATGTTCCAGATACCCTTCCCTGCTGTATGTTGACACCATGCAGTGGAGAACACAAGCACATGGGCCAGAGGCAAGTTATGTTCTTGTTTTCTGGCCTGGGCTTCAGTCTGGATGCTTGGAAGCAAGAACTGTAGGATCTACTGTAAAGTGCAGCTTCTCTACACGTGGGTGAGCCTGTGTTACACTCATGGTCAATCAGGGCCCAGTTTTTAAGTATCTTCTCTCATCTCATAAATTTAGAATAGTTCAGTTGGAAGGGACTTAAAATAACCATCTAGTCCAACTGCATCTCCACCTGACTGTGAAACAGCCCTTTTTTTCCCTTTAAGGACCATGTTAATGAAATCCCATTTCTGAATTAGTTTGCATCAATGATAATGATACTTTTGGTAGCTGATTAAGTGAAGCTTTGTATCAGGAGATATCTCAGGTACCAGATATCTCCATGTCCTTTATAGATACAGCCTTGCTGCCTTGAGACCATTCCTTTCCCTCATCTACCAGCACAGAATTCTTCAATGGGAATTCACTTGCTACATCCCATGATATTATTTATTGTGGGGTAGAATCGGGCAGAATTGTACACTGAGCACTGCTGACTCTGCTGGAGATGCTTCTCCGTATCAGGAGATATCTCAGGTACCAGATATCTCCATGTCCTTTATAGATACAGCCTTGCTGCCTTGAGACCATTCCTTTCCCTCATCCACCAGCACAGAATTCTTCAATGGGAATTCACTTGCTACATCCCATGATATTATTTATTGTGGGGTAGAATCGGGCAGAATTGTACACTGCTTTTTTTTTTCTTTTTAATTGCTGCCATATATGTTCGGGGGGAGGGGAGGGGAGGCAGCTAAGCTGTGAACTGCAGCAGAGGTGTGCATGCCTTGGGAGCGTTTGCAGGTGCTGTGGAGCAAGGCAGTGAGCACTGCTGACTCTGCTGGAGGTGCTTCTCCCAGGCCTGCAATTCATGCTGAGCATGGAAGGAGCTGCTTTGAGACCATGGCATGAGTAGTAAAGGGTCCTTGCAGCACGGAGACTGTAGCATCAATAGCAGGCAAAGGTGAGCTCCTCCAAGTTTTCATTTTCAACACAAAATCAGTCTTTCAGGTTCTTTTTGAGTTAGGGAGACAGAACAGCTGGGAGCCAGGATTTACTGCACATATAAAACCAGATACCACTAGTAAAGTTACCTCAGCATCTTGCCTTTGTGTAAAGGCAAAGATATTTGCCTGAAGTCCAAAATTTGGCGGCAACTAGGAGCTGCTGCTTTGCAGAGGCCAGATCCCATTTCTTTGTAAATCCTAGCTCCCAGCTCCTTTTGACTTTATAACTGAAGGAAGGAATGTATCTGAAAAAGGGCTTCTCAATGGTTGCATCCAGTTCGCTGTCTTCGGGTGCTAAAATTCAATGATATGCACATTTGCAGCATTTAAGATGAATGAAATATAAGTATTCCTTCCTCCATCAACTCCGTCTGGCAATGCTTCCTCACCCAGCAAAAGTGTTTCAGTCTCTTTTTTTTTTTTCTTTTAATCATAAATTATCATGGGAAGGAAAGAAAAAAAGTTCTTCTGTACAGCTGATAGACCTGCACAGTTGTTCAGTTAAAGCTGTTGAAGTAGGATTAACATAAGTGGAGTGACACTAACTTTTGAGAAAAAGAGAAGCTCTAGTTCCTTGGCAGGCCCTGCAGCAGCTGGTTACTTAATTCCATTTTCTTAGTATAGTCTCAAAGTTCTGTGTATTAAGTTTCATTGGAAATTTCCTGTTCTTGTTTTCCACTGAGATTACAAAATGTTTTTGTTAACATACAGGTCAGAAATGGGAATGCCTATTAACTATTCAATGGCTATTACTGTTCAACTTGCCACATGTGAAAGTAAGCAATTGTATCATTCTTACGATTTGATGAGCATAAAAAATAGTTCATTAGCAGAATCCAATGATGGCTTCATAAAAGAGAAGGGTAATGATTTGGTGCCTGCACATATTACACTTGGTTAAAATTTGTATTTTCATAGTCCCCAAAAACCCACAACCTTGTTAGACTACAAGCAATCCTAATGTTTAGCAGAAAGTCTTAAATACACTAAGTTCTGGAAACACAAACATGTAAGCAGTGACTTCAATAAATTAAATGGCTCAATAAATAGCTCCTGTCCAGAGTTAGACATTGTGACTGCTGTGAAAACGTGCCGTGTATCTATGCTCATCATCAGTCTTATGATTAGAGAAGTAATTTTTCTTATTTTACTCTGAATTACACTGTGAACTGGGGTGATTTAGATAGAACCTATAGCTTTTGTTCCTGGCTGCAGAAATCTCAGCCTGGCTACTTGCACTATTACCTGTTGCCCAGAAGCACCAGTAACTCTGGCATGGCACTGTCTTCTCTTTGGATCACACATGAAGAGTGCTCTATGCCTTGCACCCTCTAGTCTCAAGGCACAGGACCGCCTGCATGTGATTTGGCATCCATCTGTGATGTGTCTTGTTAGCTGGAGTCCATGTTGCTAAGCAATACAGCTCTTCTCCATCAGGCGTAGGCTTCTGTTTCTGCAACTTCAGGGCTTCTGGAATGCACCTGAATTTTTAAAATAAACAGACACCTTGTCATTTGATAAATTAAATATTAAAGATCGTTTATGTTTATATTTGAAATGTGCTAAGGTGAGGCCTCTGTTGCCTGAGCAGTTCTCTGGTGAGTAGGATTGCATTCTTGATGGCTGCTTTCATGTGCATTAGCTTCCTTGGTATGATGTCAGCTCTAATTAAGTGTGTAGCTGACTCCCAAAGCTGGAGCAGCAGCAGAGCTTCAGAAGGGCCTGGAAGAGACCTCTAAAGCAAACCAGGAAAATAGCACAAGCTGCACAAGATGAGTGCAGAGCTTTTAAATGTATGTTAAGTGATAAGTGAAGTAAACTTCAAGGCTGTGAAAGACTGGAGAGAAGAGGGGAATTCAATAAGGTATTCAGAATTCAATTTTGTGCCTCAAAGATGTGGCCCTAAGGCTTCAGTCTTTCAACACAGATATTGCAAGGCTGTGCAGGGAGACCCTGAGAGTAGATGGGTGGCCTGTGTGAAGTCATTGCTATTCATAACCTTCCTCTTAAGTGTCCATCCCACTTCCTAGTGCAAAAAATGAATCGATGTGGTGGAAACCACATTGCTAAGACATGGTAGAGTTGATGGTCAGAGTACAGTGGAAAATGTTTATTCTTCCCAAACCTTATCTTCTTGTACCTTTGGCACAGCTGTAGAAGTAATTTGTTGACGTGGGGCTCTGTAGAAAACGTAAGCTACATTCAGATGGCGAGTCAAACTGGCTGTATGTAATGTGTCACAAGCTGTGGTTTCTTTCCTAATTTCCTAAAGAAAGATGACTTAATGCTATTCCTCTGTCTGTGTCCACGTCCTTGATGCTCTTGACCTGATGGCCAACTTCAGGTATATTTAACAGGGGAATAGAAGTTGAGAAAGAAGTGGTGCAATGGAAGAGTATCTGGAGAGAAGGGATGTACTCAAGTTAATGAGTGTCTATGGAGAGGGAACACGTTGCTGGGACAGAGGAGCTGTGCTGTGGCACACTGGCTCCTGTGCCCACTGGCACATCCCGGCAGGAGGCCGGCAGGGTGGGCAGCCACCTGCCCTGAGCCACGCAGGAACAAACCGATGGGGCTGAGAAGGGAGCCATGGGCATAGGGAGAGAGCTGGTGGGCATCTTTCCTCTCATAGGAAATATGGGAGTTGAAGGTAGTAAGGTGGAAAGAAGTTGGAGAGAATATGGGTGAAAATAAAGAATGTAAAACTTAAATATGTGGAAAAGCAAGGTTTGGTTAGTCCTAGAGCATGTGAAGCATCTTGTGTTGGGATCAAACAAGAGGGGCAGTAGGGTGGGGTTATGTTTGGTTTTAGTGTTTCTGTTTTTCAGTCTTCAGGTTTAGTTAAGATACTGTTAATTTTATTTTTTCAATTTTTTTTTTTTTTTTCAGGTCTTGATTTTATCCAGGCTGAAGGGTTTGTGTTTGCTCATGTGGCTGATGAAGGGATGATAAATGCCTGTGCAGGTGACCTACTACGATACAGAAAACAAGTTGAAGCAGAGAACATTCAGATTTTTGCTGATATTAGAAAGAAGCATAGGTAAATACAAGCAATATTTTATGTAAATATGAATGTAATAATGATCTTATTTTTCTCAATTCCCTGATTTATTTTTTTTTTTTATGCCTATTTAATGTCAGGAAAGTTAATGATATAGGGAGAACTTTATTGTTCAAGCAAAGTCTTGCAGGGCTATTAGGGAATATGTCTAAAAATAAATTTGCACCTGTAAGCTGCAGGTTACTGCATCTGTGAAGTTTGCAGTTGTTTAACCTTCAGGATTAATACATGCAGATGTAAAAATTTTCCATCTGTTATTAGGTGAGATTTTGTATACTAGTGTATATACCTGTTGTGTTTAAAAAAAAATTGTTTCTGGAGGTTAGGCATCCAAGGTTATTTTTAGCTATCCAAGCAGTTGCCATATAAAACCATCCATAATCATCATAATATTTTGGCATTTTAAAAAAAACATTATCTTTTTTCCTTCCTGCCAATAATACTGATTTCTTCTACTTAAATCAGTGCTGTATATGTACGGATTATGTTCTGTGATTATCAAACAGAAGGAATTTTTGACAGATGAATCCAGTTTCTTTTCTGCTGATACTTCATCATAACTGTCACATAGTACTTTCAGCTATTTACATGTCACTCTTCTGGTTTTTTCCCCCCAGAAAAACTGCTCAAGTGTTATGTATTATACATGCTAAATAACCTCATTAAAATGTGTGTGTCGTATGTGGGTAATCATGAGAATAACCAAGTCTGGAAGATCTCAAATACCTAATAAACAGGTAATAAATTTCAAAATAGAAGGGAAACAATACAGTACAGTCAAATTAAGCTTTTAAGCTTGTTTCAGACTGGGTTTTTTTTAGTGATTTCTTTATATACTAAAAAAAAACCCATTACATTAGACCTTTTTGTAAAAAAAAAAAGATTGCTTTATGTGACTTTTTTTTTGTTTTGACAATTGATGAATTGATGTTTGAATTATACTTCCTGTTGTTCAAAGGGTTTGCTTTTTAAGAAAGGAAAAGGGTTTTTGTTTCAGGCAGATTCATAAACTGAGAAGGAAATGGTAAAGGACTTAACTGAGTTTTTCAATGTAGAAAAATATGCGTGCCACTGAGAGCTCCTAGCCTCCTGTTATTTCAATGGGGACACATTATTTTTGTAGTCTGCCCACTGTTTTACAGCTACCTTTCCGTGCTATTTGTAGAGTGCCTACTACTCTTAAGCCTCATTCCAACCTCATTGTATTTATTGGGTACTTTGTCCTGCCCTTCTCCAGCTGCAGAGGTTAGTGTTCTCCACTTCACATCCATTGCCATCAGTGGCACATGCTGCACACACGCTGCCCCTGAATATGGGCAGAGCGTGGCCCTCCTCCCCTCCAAGGGTGTTGCCCATTCAGACTGATCCAAGAACAAGGTCCATCACCACTCATCAGTGCTACATGTTGGCCATGGCCATTGTTTTCTAAATGAAAATATAGAAACTAGGTCAGGAGTTGAACCAGCCATGGCTGGAATTCTTTCAGAGTTTAGAACCATTTCAATTAAAAGCTGCTGTTGCGGTAGGTTTCCAAGTGCATCACCCATATATCAGACTGCTGTTGAAAAGCTAGGTTGCAGGTAATTGATGTTTGTAACTGCTGTGTAAGGTGATTCCTGTGATTATATCATAGGTAATAACTATACTTGCCGTTATTTGGACTTTGTGAAATGAAGTGGAGGGTGTTAATTCTGCACTAGGCAACAGAATCTGATTTATGAATGACTGCACATCCACGGCTTCCACTTGAAGCCAGAGAGCTGTGTGTGCTCAACGTTTCTGAAATACAGGTGCTCGACGTGTAAGCAGCTGTCTCAATTGACACTTGGTAGTTCACACTTAGCAATCACTCCTTGGAGACAGGAGCCTCAGAGCAATAGATGGATCAATTGCGCTTCCCTGGTGGGAGAGGTTGGGCTTTCCCCTCCTCTGCGTATCACAGTGTCGCTTCCCAGTTGCAAACAGGACACTCGCCCTCCCTCCCTCCCGCAGCCTGCCTGGAGCAGTTCTGACAGCGGGGAGGATGGCGGAGTGCAGCCTAAGCCTTGGGGAAGGTGGATGAGGGGCGCCTGTGCCCGCGGTGACCCCGGGGCGCGTTCCCGCTGTCCGCAGGCGCACGCTCCGGGGGCAGATGTC